AAGTTTAAAATTTCTCATAAGAATAGCAACGTAATAGTAGATAGAATTACTGGATTTTTGGAATTTTTCTATCGTTCGGAATTCTAGGAAATAGAAAACACGATGTTTCAGAAACAGATCCAGTCTCCGAAACAACGCGTTTTCTATTTCCTAGAATTCCGGACGATAGAAAAAAGTCCAAAAACCCAGTAATTCTGTGTGTTATCCACCATCGTCAGAACTCTTTAGAACCAACGTAATAGTAGTTCAAGGAGATAGGTGGTTTAGTTGAAAAGTATCTTTCAGAGAATCAGAGAGTAGAAAAAGTGAATCTTGTATTTATTTTGGATGTGATGTCACTTTGAGAATGGAAATGACACATACAAATGAAACCTAAAGCGTCAGAATTTATCGGCAATAAATATGAAATTAAAGTAAGGAATTCCAAAATTACAGAAAAATTTATCGGACCCTTCTCTATTATGAATTCCGAGTCACTTTTTTAAAATATGCCATTAGAATTACTAATCAACAAATTAGACGATAATTACAGGTAGTCTGTTTACAACCCAGGATGAAATGGCAAAATATAACTTAATTCGAAGGAACTTATGGATAGATGAATTCTGATTATCTTTTCAAACACATTTTTATTCACTGACCGAGAGGGCAAGCAGACATTGGCAGACTGAGGTAGCGATGGAACTGAAGTTGGAAAGAGGCTTATTCGACTTAATTCCTAAAACCGGACAATGATGATGATGTTGCTAGTGATAAGGACAGGAGTGAGACGACGGCCTTGGGCGAAATGTTTGGTATCCGCTCAGTTTTTCTTTTACCCTGAAGCTGGAGGCAGCAGTTTCTTCGGAAACGTGGGTATCTTTCTATTGGGCTACACATCTACAAGTGTTGCAGGCCATGCGGAGACAATGTGTTTACTGTTGATGACAGACTTGAATTCTTAGAGTTAAATTAGTTTATGTCCTGCTACGAGTATTTGAACCTATTAAGTGCTACACATTCTTCCACAAAATCTGTTTTTTTTTCAATCTCTTCATGTTAAGGTCAGATGCTCAGAGAACAGTGCTATAGATGGAGATTAATCCTGAAGAAAGCACCAAAGTGGGAAAAAAAAATATTTGTAGGTTACGAACTCACTGTTGCAGATTTAATTCCGTGTCGTATTTATTGCCATAATCATTCTGGTTTTAGGAAGTTAGTACAGTCAGTTCATTTGTAATTCACGTTTATAAGCAGTTTGGCTATAAATATTATGGAGCACTTCTGATAATGCCAGTCAAGATTTGGATGTAGCTGAGACGAGCATATGAGAGACAGGCACAATGTGCTATAGAGGTATGGCACAAGGAGAAGCATTTCCTGTTGAATCACTTGTTCTGATAACTCAATTTTAGTGTAATATGCTTCTGAACAGAAAGCTTTTCTATGCAACGTCAAAAAAAATGAAACATGGACTATTTTACTCTCGAACCAAATAACACTCTAGTAACAGATACGTGTGTGACGACTTCTAACTAACTGCGGCTAATTATTTCAAACTCCTAGCCAACATATCGAGAGAATACTAAGTTACAACCGCTTACAATAGCCGGACGGTCTGAAGCATGTACTGTCTTCGCTCACTCGGAAGCCAGAATCGTGGGCTCGAATCCCACACAAGGCATAGATATTTGGTATGTATGTTTATTCTGTGTTTATGCTGTCCTGTGTTTAGGTAGAGGCCTTGTGACGAGCTGATCACTCATCCAAGGAGACCTGCCGTTTGTAAAATGATCAAAATGAAGAAAAAATCTCGACACCGTACGGTATAAGAGGAACGGATTAAGTAAGTAATTTAGCTACAAGTCAATAATTAGCAGTTTTATTAAAGCAAAAAATTCATTACCTTCTTAATAAGTGTACCACCCGACGCCATTCCGAGCTATGATACAGTTCTCAGACGTAAACCCTATTTCTTCATCACTTCTAACACTACCGAGCAAAATCTTTGAGAAGGTGCTGGTAGACCGACTACTTATGTCGTCATACTCATCGATCCTTCCACTAATTCTGGTCTGTCAGTTCCACAAGCGAAGTTGTGTCCAGTGCCACAACTTAGGTACCCACTCTCAGAGACTTTCTTCTCAAGTAACATAAGAAACCGAAAAGTAAAGCAAGAAAAAGATAAAGTTCACCAGATGTTACAGAAACTGTTCAGAGTGGTTATCCTCGGCCCTCGGCCCTCTCACATCTTGCATGCAATCTCTGCGAAACACGCGGACAGCCGAAATGGAAGCAGTCACAGTTCTTGAGAGCTTCAGCAGCGCGAGGCGTCCTTTTATATTTCCCAGTAAATAAATGTCACAGACACGAAGAACAGGTGATCTTGGAGGTCGTAACTTTTACTGGTGGTTCTGTCGTGGAACATGTTTTGTAATGCACTCACTGTATTATGTGCGGCATGCGCAGTAGCATTCCCGCTTTGAAAGTAGCCATTCTGTATTTCGTCATCAGTCAGATCTTCTAAAAATGCTTACCGGTCAATTAATTTGCCTAATACTTACCCTCTAATCTTAAAGTTATGCAGCGGAATCTGTTGAAATGCGCGTGGAGCTTCTTCACTCCAGACGTGTGTTCGGAGAATTTAAGTAATCGATTAACCGGAAGTGCAGAGAAGCAGCTGAGTATCTGTCAGTCCTTCATGCTAGTCCTTCAGCCTCAAGTTACATAAGCGAATCATTTGTGGAGCATCCACAGATGTAAGCTCGTGCAAAACATTCACTCTGCATGTGCAAAATTTTTTAAATTTATTTTTATCAGAAGCAGAGCCTACAGACAAATATCTCTTTTGTGCAAATCATCTTAGAAATTTCCGAAGACTTATTTGCAACCGCTCTTCGATCTCTGTCTCCAAGCTTCTCATCCGTCAGTATGGTTTTCTTGCAATGTCTTGTTCTATCAAACATTGACCATGTGGTGCCTCATTTTTTTACAAGTTTAGGCATGCAAGGTTTTGGACACACAGGTTAATCAGGTATTTTCGGATAAATGTTTCCTTGCGCTTTTCATTCATAACTAGGTCTCAACATTAAGAATTTTCTGATCCACTGCTACGTCATTAGTCATAAAGTCAAGGATAAATTCATTAACTCAGCACATAAGTATCCTTGTTATCTCTTAGGGAATTGACTGACCAGAACTAGAGGAAAGGTCGAGGGATAAAGCCGAATAAGTAACCGGCTTACCTGCGGCGCTAGGAAGTTCCTTCTTATTCTGAAGACATTGTATAATCCAATCTACATCCAGGTCTTCAAAGTTGTTTCATCCCTTTAGGTCGTACAATCAAGAACTTGTGTGCAGTTCCCATCTCTTTCGTGCGTGGTACGTGCTTTGTTTGTCCTCCCACGCCTGGCCACCGCAATAATGTCGGGGAAGGAAGAGAAATTATGAAGGTTCCTTGTTGTACAAAATTCTCCAGCATCTTGTGATTTTTTCTCTTAGGTCCAAAATCTCATCACCCTGCTATGTATCTGTTGCTTATTTAACGACCCTGCCAATAACTCAGACTATATAGTTTCGAATGATTTGATGATACTTGATAATGAATTATAAAGGATTGGGAAGGAACCGGCCATGCTCAGATTCAAAGTGCGATCATGGAAATTGCCATTGAGGGATTGAATAAAACCATGAAAATTTCAACCGGTATAGTCCGTATCCCTGGAGATTCGAAATGGGCACCTACTTACTTACAAGTCGGCGCCGTTATGGCTTCTGCCAACTTGCTTATTCTCGATTTATAATCTTATGTAAATGTGCGAGGCAACGTATCTCACTTACACATACAATCAGAAATATAATTTTACATTTTTATTATTTACACTTTTTGGCTAGAAGGCAGGAAGGTTCTGAACTGGATGCTAGCGAGCCTATTCTGAATGTCATCCTTTAAAGCCCAGTGGTCCTACATGTGCCACCTACTTTATCATACTAAAACTCTGCGTTCTGCCCGCAGAGTGTTTAGCCTATGTCATTTCGTTTGGTTCTCACAGCGAAGAGCAAAGTTTTCCCTAAATAGCTTTAACTGGTTGATTTTTGCACCGGAGGCGTAATCTGTTTCCTATGAAGTACGAACTCAGTTTTTATATATCATTTAGAAGAAATTAACTTTTTAAATGGCTAATTTACTAGTAACGTATGTTGTATCCCGTAATGGGACAGGTTGGTAAGGGAGCGGTTCCCTTGGGACTCAGTGCAGGGTGTCTAAAAACTGAAGCTGAAAGTTAATTTGTACAATTATTGATGATGATAATTCCACACAGTTAACGCAGAGAAACCCTGTTGGTAAGAAACTGTTGCCTGCCTAAGCAAGGGTAGTGGCCGACTCTAATGGAAGACAGTTCTGCTCCACAAATGGAAACAGACTGCCTCGATATCAAAAAGCCTTTGTAATGACCGAAGTTCAGTATGTATACGGTTCAGTTAGGGCGTTTCCTTTCTGGAAGCATCTCTCTGTTTCGCTCATTGCATCATCATAAGAAGCTTCCAGAACATTCTATTTTTACATCATGTGAGCCCATCCTGGACTTTGACCGAAGTTGACAAAATTTATGAGGCAGGAATTTCCACAACTGTCTTTGTCTTTAGGTCAAGACGAGATTATTTTTGGGTGATAACATCTGTGAAAATCCAAGTTACAACAGTTTAATACTTCCTGTTGGTACAGACATTTCCTCTGATTATGCATCAATATGGATTCCGTGAATGTGTACCTTGATTTCAAATATGTATATCACCTAATACAATAATTCACCATACACAATATATATCGATTACATTATACAACAGTTCATCATGCACCACGTATCACCTACACAACATTTATTCGCCAATAAATAACGAATCATATTTCCGGTGATCTGTGTTGCATGTGGGTATCTAGTGGATAGAAATTTCCGTGAACATTACTGACCAAAAATGTTCCTAATACTTCCAAATTAATGCCACTTTTTTCCCCACAGGAACAACATGGACTCAGGAAATGGTGTGGTTGATAGCTAATGACCTGGATTTCGAAAAGGCCAAGAAAATACCACTCAATGAAAGAGTACCATTTTTTGAGTAAGTGTACAAATCATGCTAATGTAATTATATTACATATAATTTTTTTAATTACGAGTATCTACTTTACATTCTAGTGATATAGGCATTTGAAAGATTCCGTGTTCGAAGGTAAACTTTAAACATAAATTTATTACTGAAACAAATTTGCGTTCGATTAAGATAATTTCTATTAACAAGGAAAACGAGACACATTTGAACTTACATGTTTAGGGGTTTTCATGGGGGTGAATATTAAGACTACTAAAGCTAAGTAACATACGCGCTAGTACTTGAGACGAAGCTGCTGTAGACATTTAAATTTGAGTTCTTGTTATGGTTCCGTTCTAAGCATTGGCATTTACACGTGACGTTCTGCGATACTTAATAAGAACTTCTGATGCTCATCTGATGAAGTGATATGGTGCTTACATAAGAATGAGATTTACATTCGAAATGATGTTGCCCTTAGCACTAGCACAAGAATAACATCACTTTAATTATAAAATTGTACTTCTAGTGGTGTAATGTCCATTGTGTGCTGAAATAACTTCAGCGCTTACATAAGCTTTCATACGTACATATCGCTTTCTTCCCCTTCCTTCTTCATCTTAATTTATAACACTTTAGTAATATATTGCTCAAAACTTGCTGTCAGAGGAGAGATATGGTTACGGAATGTCAGGCGTGTCATGTGCTACATTATTTCAACATATTCACCGAAATATCCTCCCTCTGTGAGCGGAAGGAAACAGACTTAGGAAGAAAATATACATATACACTGACTTTCGTATCTAGAGAACGCTAGCATTAACCTCTTTGAAAGTTCAAGAGAAAATTATCGATGTTATTAATGTCATTTTCATGAATATTGTGTTTTTTAGACTATGATCCGTTCTTATATGACATAGCGCCCTAGAAGAACAATTTCAAATAAGGATTTTTGCTGAACAAGGAAGCTATGAATATTCAAAGTATTGCAAAGACAGCTGTTATTTGTACTAAGGCAGATAAACAGATACTTCACAGGATACAAATATGCACTAAGCCTGTACTCTTATGTAGAAGTACAACATGAATTTCTTTCGGCAGAATTGGGAAAAGCAATACTTACCGAAACATGCCTTTCATTGCCGTTTATTTTTGTCATTTTTTCACCCTATGCAAAACTGATACCAACCCCGACAGGTAGCATACCTTAGTGAAATATCAAACGTCAGACTTTTATACATAAAATGTTAAAGGCCGTAAATATTTTGCCGACTGATACGTCGAGGCCTTTTGACGATTAGCAGCATCGGTCAGATATTGAGATTAACTATGTTTTCTGATAGCGCAAGGAAATGCAGTAGAACGCTGAATATCCGAATTAGTTAGTGACGAAAGTTATCTGGATAACAGAAAATTCAGATAACTGGATTAAATTCTTATCCATGGAATAGCACTATTATAGCACTATTATATATTAATGTACTGTGCTAATAATAGAAATTAAAAACTGTTGAAACAAGTGAAATACGAAAAAGTATTAAATGAAATTATAAATTAACATTTCGAACACTTTTTTTGAAAAAGTTCAACAATGGTGTTTGTTTAGCACACGCGTTCCTTGGTTTCGGCAATTCAGTTAACTTGAAATTCGAACAATCGGCCATGTGCTGTACAGACCTATATTAAACCGTATTTTACATGCGACAAGCAAGGTGATTCACATTGTCACTGATAGGCGCACTAGCAATCTACAGCACATAATGTATAATTATAATATGTATGTAACATAATTTGTGTTACGTTGGATACCCTTTTGTGAAAGGATTTCATGAAGTGGTAACGAGGAGCTTCATAACTTGTACTCTTCGCCAAGTATAAATAGAATGATCAGGTCAAGGAGGATGAGGTGAGCAGGGCATGTAGCACGAATGGGGAGAAGAGGAATGCATATACCAGTAGGATACGGGCGGGGAAGTCAGAAGGAAAGAGACCACTGGGAAGACCAAGACGTAGGTGGGTGGGCAATATGAAAGTGGATCTTAGAGAGAGAAGATGAGATGGTATGGACTGGATCGATTAGGCTCAGGATAGGGACCAGTGGAGGGCTCTTGTGAACACCGTAATGAACCTTTGGGTTCCGTAAAATGCTGGGAAGTTCTTGAGTAGCTGCACAATTGGCGGCTTCTCAAGAAGGGCTCAGCTTCATGAGTGAGTGGCTGCATGAAGTGGAGCAGCTCGTGTTAGTGGTGCGCATGCTCAGAGTCGAGTAGAACGTATTGAGAACAATATGAAAACAGTAAAGAGTTGCAGCATCCGAATGTACCAGTACAATCAGTAATTCCATAAACGTGTCGTTCCAAATAACAAGGCTCGTTTTCGAACCTTATGTTTCAATTAAATTATTGCGTTCCACTTATGCATCCCCGTTATTGATATGGTACCACAACATGTTCTGTATGAATGTGATTACATTTAACATATCACAGTTTGTAGGTTACGTTATTTCGTTCTCATTTGTAGCTGTAAAATATGAATTACAAGTGGTTCTATAGGCGTAACAAGGAAATGACATCACTATGCTAGCTTTTTAAGCGAGGCCTGGATTTCATTGTCTCTCCAGCCAGTATAATTGACAGTGTAAAATGGTAGGGACATGTTTTATATCCTGTTATTACATATTTGAAACCCCAGTTCGTGTCATCACGAGAACTCACTTTGCATACGAATAACTGAATAATCACCCCCATATGTAAAAAGGGATTAAGCCCTGTATCCATCCGACAATGTGCTTTAGACTATTTAAAGCTCTAAATCCTAGTATGATATTTCGCAGGTGCACTACATGTCATGTTTGGCGACATAGGAATTCTTTACTTTCACAGATCTTTCATGATACTTCTGTCAAGCATCTTCAATAACTTGCGTTATATAACCTGCGTGGACACTAAATAACTGTAGTATCTCATATAGCATCGTTATAAAATTCAGGTCCACACTGAAATATCTATCGGATACCGCTGAGTAATAGGTTGATAAAGCGATGGTAAAGTTAAAAGTGGTATGTACTGTCTTCGCTCACTTGGAAACCGGGATCGTGGGTTCGAATCCCACTCAGGGCATGGATGTTTAGTTTGTGTGTGTGTGTGTGTGCGTGCGTTTCTCTGTGTTTGTGTATAGGTAGAGGCCTTGCGACGAGCTGATCACCCGCCCAAGGAGTCCTACCTAATGTGTAAGATCTAGAAAAACCGAAGTGAACAGAGAAGTTCATGGAGGTAGGCCTAGGCCCACTGGGGCTGTAGTGCCAAGGGGGGGAAAAAAGTTAAAAGTAAAGTTGTCCCTGTGCTTCACTAATTAAGCACGTCATGAAGGCGTATGGGGGATGGTTGTAAAGATCCACATATTCTCGACTTAGGCACTAGTTCGAGGTGAGTGGTCAGCTTCACGCCCCGGTAGCTTTACCCCCAGGAAAGAACCCCCTGGTTCCCATTGGATAGGAGGTAGGGTGGACTTCAGAGCTGCCCAGGACGACGTGGAGAACAGAAAATTCTTAGCCCTACAGGGACTCGAACTGCGACCCCTTGGTCGTCCAGCCCATAGCCAATCGCTATACTGACTACACTATCCCGGCTCCGATAAAGTAATGAATGAATTTAAATTAAATTAAAATAGTATAATTCAATATAAAAAGTCCTTCGTATATGCATATACTGTATATTTACTTTAGGATTCATTAGTAACTATATTCTGAAATTGTTTAAACAATTACATGGTTATGTCGCATCAGAAAATATTGGTACCTTTTTCTTCAATACGAAATTGATAATAATTTCATTAAAGAATTCTAAACAATCTATTTTACCTTTTCATTCACACACTCTACTTCCGCCCACAGTGCAACCCGGTTATCTATTTATTTTCTCCTTCTCACTAGATGTTTCGGCCGTACACGACCATCATCATGAGTCTCTATTTGCCAAAACTATTTCACTGTGTTGTATATGCGACTTTACCTATCACATATGAAAGTAACTCGTATTCGTATTATGAGAGGGGGTGGGTTTCCCCATGCACTTAGACAAGTTATTGGTCCATATGTGTGTCCCCCTTTAATTTCTACTGTCGCCATATCCTACCGGTAACGGCGCGTGCAATCAGCCCCCGTAGAGCCAACAAGGTCGGCCCTCGGTACCTTGATGCTTCCCCCATCCACCATAGGCATTGGAGACTACTTGGGCGGGAAAGGGCCTGTAATTTAGCTCAGAGGTCTCCTAGAGACATGAGGTTCTTTTACGTGCCGTAAATCTACGACACGGGACACACGGCTTAAAGTCCCTCCCGTAGGACTTGTTCCCTGAATTTTTCCGCCCTTAAAAATTTCACGACCTCCGCCGGGTTTGAACCCGCGTACCTTGAATCATGTGACTACGGAGGGCGCTACATATGAAAGTAATATCTTACACTTAAAAATAAATGTACCCCATTAAAAATCACTAAAATCAATAATAATAATAATATAAAGTCTGATAAAATTTTCAATATTCTTGCTTGGGGCCTCTTGTCTTTTATTTGGATTCTTTTCTTGCAGCGGCGTGGATGTTGTGTATAAGTAGTTCCCAGTCGTGTTGGTGCCGTTATTGTCTGCAATATGCGAAGAATATAAGTAAATAAAAACGTGTTGCAATGTGGACGGAACTATGATGTGTGAATGAAGAGTAAATTAATGCAACAGGATGCTTAAATACAATATTATAACCTCTTTTAACTAGTACCAATAACGCGACTCGAAGCTACATGTAAGTAGCACTGCAGAGGCCGCGCCATAGCTCAAGCGGTTAGTCGCTGGCTTCCCATCGGGTTTGATCCCGGGTCTGGTCAAGTGGGATTTGTGGTGGACAAAGTGGCGCTGGGGCAGGTTTTCTCCCACTATTTCGGTTTCCCCTATCAATCCTCATTCCACCAATTGCTCCACAATCACCCTCACCTATCATCTGGGGCTGGTACAATAGGCCAGAAGTGGCCACAGTACAAGG